CTTGACCCTGACCGCGCACTTTTATGCCGGGGTCAAGTGCCTGCTGAACAAAAGGCATTTCCTATGCCCTCTACCCGATCAAGTCCTCCTTGCCCCCTCCTCCACGCGTCCCAGCTCGGCAGCAAACCTTTGGCTTGCTGCGCGAACCTTACGGGTCACGGCTTGTGGTAGGACAAGAGCAGTGTATTCTTGAAGGGCTTGATCGAGGTAAAGACGTGCAGTGGCAATATGTTGCCAGCGGCCTTTGGCCAAAAGCTGATCAAATTGCATGCCCTGAACATAGGCTGCAGTGCCCCCCCCCCCGTCTCAGACTGTAAGGAAGGTAGTTGAAGCTTTCCAGGCCGAGGTGATGCACAATCTCTTTCCATAGTGACCGGAAAGCAGCAGGGGAAAAATCCGCCAACTTTTCTTCAGGCTTGCGTCTCTGACAAAGAGCGCGCAAGCAAGTAATGCCGCTTTTCTCAGGAATGAGTACCTTCTCGCTCCTCAAAAAATTTCGTTGTGACGTTTTCGTGTCACGCAGGAAGAGGATCGCGGACTGTCCTTCCTTTCGTGGCAGCACCACATCTTGCCGCTGAAGTTGAAACATCTCTCCCGCCCGTAGGAGACCACAAAAGGCTACCATGGTAAGCTGGGCTAAGCGAGGCCATTGCCACTGCCATAGTGTTCCAGCAAAAGCCAACACTAATTCAGGACTAAGGGGCGTAGCCCGCAAGGGTTGCTCCAACTTATTCCATAAGGAAACCAGCTGCCATGCTCCTTTCAAGTTTCGTCTGAGCTCTGGCCTTCGATACTGAACGGCCGCCATCACATAATTGGCCATCGTCTTGGGATCTCCTTCCTCCCAGAGGAACTCAACATATTGACAAAGCACTGACTCAAGGTCTGCTCGTTTCAGCAGCTCTACCTCTGGGGTTCCCACAAAGGTACTCAAGGCAACGGCATATCTTTCTGCAGTTGCTTGTGAAACTCTTTGCTCTGACAACCTTCCCACTTTCTGCCTTTCAGCCTTGCGGTCTGCTTTCGTGGCTTTTCGCTTAATCTCCCTTCTTGGCATCCTTTTCAAAGCGTCTGCTTGGACCATCCGCGGGATTCAATCGGGATGCAATCCAAGCCATAAAGGGAAAAGGTTCAACGCGACACACAAGGCTGAGGTCTTCCGCAAAATGCGATTGATCTTTCTCGAGCTGCTCCGACCTTTCGTCAGTGCAGCCAGGCAGATCTGGGAATCCGGTAGGTGGAGGAACCTGCAGGAATGAAAGGAGGCCGAACGGGCCCGCCACTCTAGGCTCCTCAGGATCGCCCTCAACTCCAGAAGATTGATGTGCTCATTTCGGCGCCACTTGTAGGATTGGGCCGTCTTCCAAACCCATCGGCCTGGATCAACTGTCGCGCGGACCACAGCATCCGGACGGTACACGACCTGCAGGTCCAACCGAACATCGCTTCCACGAAATTCCATCCTCCGAAGATATTGGTGAATCAGCCGGACATTCAACAAGCAGGCTCCTCCTCCACCCTTGCCAAAACTATGTCCAGCCAGACGAAGCCATTGTTCGCGCTTTGGGTTCCGGACCAACTGCACCAGGGCTTCTTCCGCCTCCTTGTCTCTCTCACTCTCGCTAACATGCGTCGTGGCATCATCCTTTTCTCCAATGTCATTGAACCTCCTGACTGCCGTCTCCTCGTGCCATCTTTTCACTATGGCGCTGGCTCCCTTCGGATCAGTTCGGGCTTGCTTCTTCCATAACCACAGGTCCATCGAGCAAGCCACGACCACAGTGTGGAAGCTATTTCCGATAGCCGCTTCTCGAGCCACCATCTGCTTCCTCTTTTCCTCCTCCGTCTCTGCTTCCTTTCGAAACAGAGCCAAGGTGTACCCCGTGGGGTATCCCATCAAACTCTCTTTCCGTCGCGGATGCCACACGCTTCACTTCTTCTCCCGTGGCATGGTGAAAAAGGAACTCGGGTCGGTAGGTGTATGGAGGAAACTTCATCCTGTCCTCCTTCCATCTGTCTATTGTGCTCGGATCGCAGGACTGCAGCCCCGCTGGCTCCTTGGGCGGATTCCTCCGTGGAAGTGTAAAAGTCGGCAACCGAGGGTTCTTATTGACCTCCGCTGCCGGCCAAAACCACCCTTCATCACAGACCGACCCCAGAGGCTCCAACTCCTCATTAAACTCTAACACATCATAGAGCTCGTGATGGTTCAGCTGATAACTGGCACGGTCATCCAATGCCACGTTGCTCCAATACAATCTTGGACGCCGAACCCACGATAGGCACCCCGAGCAAACATGCACCGGACGGTATCCCAGCTGTTGACTCATCTCTCGGATGAGTCATCCTCATCTCCAACTACATTCTCCACCATCAGGACAGACCATACCTTCATTTCTCTTGCCAGGTCCTCAATCCAATCCAGAATCTCCACATACTTGTAGAACAACTGGCACCTCAGTTCTTGAAGGTGAATTCGGTCCACACTCAACCTTGACAGACCCTGACACGGAGAGCCTCCCCCAGCAACCACTCCGGTGAGGCCTGGTACACTCCTCATGTACTTCTCTATCTCTCCTTTTGTCACCCTCGTGATATCAGTTATCGCGTCACATCCAGGCCACCTTGTCTTGTTTAGCCTTCGACGTTCAGGGTCCTTCTCAATCACCACTAAATGATCCACCTTCTGTCCTGCCAGCTCCAGTGCACGGCTCAGGCCTCCTATGCCTGCGAAGAAGTCGAACACCAGCACGCTTTGGGGTTCATCCAAATTGATGCCCTCTCCGCCGACATCATCCTCCTCCTCTTCCAAGGCGCACATCTCTCTGAGCCCTTGGGAGGTCAGCTTCGACCCATACACGGAGCCACCACCTGTCTCAGTGGCATCAGAGGCCGTCACCACTTCGTGCAGGTTGGCCCTCAAGTCAGTTAATTGTCAGAGGCTGACTACAACCTGCCATCAGTATCTCCTCCACTGACTTGGCTCCAAGCTCAATCATGACCTCGCCTTCCGAGATGTCCTTCCAGAGGTAGTCGAAGACTCCAAACAAGGGTCGACGGAACTGAAGCGTATGCACCTCTCGTCCTAGAAACACCTGCAATCCTTTCCGGGGCACCTTCTCTTGTCTCAGTAGCCAGAAGCTCAGCGACAGGCTATCTAGCGCTCTCTTCATCGATCCTTGAAGGGTTCCTCGGTCCCCATCAACCACAGCTTCTCGGCTTTGCGGGCTCTCTGCAAGCTCTTCTCTTTCGAGTACGGGACCCCCGTCCTCTGCTACACGAGCCTCCATGATCTCATAAAGGCTGGTGTCATCGAGATACAAGGACCATTCGGGAAGACGCTATCTCGCCGTATCTCACACCTTCCCAACAAACCTCCGCCTTGCAAGGGTGACCGCAGAGCCAATCTCCTATGGGCATGTTGCAGCACTCCTACTGCCGACGCCCAGCCCATTGGGAGCGCAGCTGCACCAATATAGGTTTCTCCTTCTCGCTCTACTCCCGCTCACCTTCTCTGCAAACGTCATCATCTCAGGCCAACCCGGTGGGAGAGCAAATAAGTTAAAAGCTGACACCAGATCATGCGCGCTCATCCTCACCACCTTGCCAGCTGGGAGAACCACGTGCTGCAGAGCCGGTGCCCCCGTCAAGGTCCGGACATCTCTGTCAAGAACTCGAGTCGCGGCATTCGTCCCTCGAAAATCCATGATCAATCTCAGGACTGGACGTTCATCATCAAGGTACTTGCCCGGCTTTGCCACTCCGAAGCTGCCGTTCACAAGGTACCTACCTCTCACAAGCACTGGCGCCTCGACTGTCTTCACCAGGCCCCGTGTGTACATCTCTCCTGCTATCTTCTCCCATTCCTCACGGGAGGCATGAATCTGAGGCCTTGGCATCTCCACTGGCATCTCCTCCTCCGACAATAGATTGCTCAGTGGATGCAGGAGCTTTTCCTTCAACTCCCCTTCACACAACTCTACGAGCGGAATACTTGCTCCATAACCCGCAGGTGGCAAACCAGGCAGGACCTGATCCAGTGTCAGACGCTGTCCTTTCTCCACTATCTCACCTTGATATGAGCTCCTCACATCACCAACCTTTCTTCCCCACTCCCCCATCTCTGGGGAGCGGGGCACCTTTGTTTTTGTCTCAGAGCTATCATCGACGAAGGCCTTCACCGTCAATCCGATCCAAAGCCCTCTAGCCTGACTCACACTCGTGGTTCCTCTATGAACTTTCGCTTGCTTTCCTCCTCCTGTCCACAGAAAATTCAGCACCACCACAGCCAAGCAATGCCAAATGAGCAGACCGGCTCGTCGTGCGTGTCGAAAGGCCTTCTTGTCTGTGCCTCCAAACTTCCGAAAGTCCCCAGACTCGAAGAGGCTCCTGAGCTGCTCCTTCCCATCGGCCCACAGCGGCAGGGGCAGAACCTCCCGTTGTCTTCCCCTATTGCCGTCGTCAGACCCCGGCTCGATGGACCGCTTGAGATATTCGCCCAAGTTCGTGCCACTTCGCATGCACACCAACGCCAAAAGTCCTCCTGTTTGTGAAACGCTCAGGCCACCACACTCTTCACTTTTTAGCCAACGCTGCATTATGGCTAAACTCTCGACTTCGCTGGAAGGGCCTCAAACCCTTCCTCGCTGGATTCACTCCCACTGTCGCTCACACGACTGCAATATCAAGCGAGTTCTCCATGGGAACCCCTATGAGCGGGGTAAAAAGAGACCCCCCTTGGGAAGCATCCGTTGGACATTCTGGCGGGGTCGCCATGGCTAGGAGTTGATGACGATAATCAGCAAGCTCCTCGGCTAGGCATTAATTTCTGCAGTGGAAGTAGTCTCCACCGGACTAGGGCGGCCTGCACTACCGATGGAAATTACCAGACCTGCATTGTATTCAAGATGTGCCTCTGTGAACAAAAGCATACCCAGCTTGCTGCGGGCAAGGTCCGGGTCACTGTAGTGCCCTACCAGGTCAGGCCACCGAAATTGGCTTTCCGCTAAAGAGGCTAGGTCTTGCACTTCAAACAACGTGACTGGAACACAATCATTATCGATGAGTCCAAAATGCACCTTTGGGAATAGAAACCTGGCAGCCTCGAGCACGAAAACACCGGCCCACTAGTAAGGGACTACATGCAGGCCATTAGCTTGATTTGCCTGTACCCACAGTATATCTGTCTTTTCTTGCTGCGGACCGATTAGTGCGCGACGCGAAGACCACCATTGTGCGAAGGCAGGCCAATGCTCCACTTCATCTGGGCCACGGTTATCCACAATTAGGTATAGACCATGCCACATGACTCTATAAGCTCCCTGTGTCGGACTAGGCATTCAACAATGGCAACCGTGTTGGGGCCGTGACCAGACAGCTCTGTTGTAGCATACCCTACATCCCGATCGGCACCTTCCTTTCTCGGCCATATCTCCTTCTGCCAGGCAGACCTCCTTTGCTTCGCGGAGGACAACCCTCCGGGTTTCTCCTTGGCTCCTCCTTGGCGACCTATCTCTCTTGGCCGATCGTCGAAATGGACTCGACGCACCTGCTCGGGGCTCTTTGACCGCTTCAGGCTGGCGGCTTCCTGCTTTGCTGCTCTTCTCTTCTCGCTCTCTGAGGACAAACTTGCGGCTCGTGGAGGTATCAATTCCTGATGCCGTGCTGATATCCAGTTGCTGCCGACCAGACTGGTCTCCAGAGCCTTCAACCAGGTCTCCTAGCTCCGGCAGCTCGCTCATGATCAGAAGGTCGGTGGCGGTCCCGAGGGTGATGAGTTCTCTGTGACTTCTCACTCCCATGGCCTGACTCACTTCTCCTTTCACTCGACGATGGTCGCTTTTCCTTCCTTCCCCGGCGCCTTTTGCGGCTCCGGCTCCGGCCACGGCTCTCCTTCTTCTTTTCCTCCTCCTTCTTCCGCTGCTGCTCACGCCGTTCCGCCGCCCTCCTTTCCAGCAGAGCGCCAACTGACCCTTTCGGCCCTCTTCCACTCTCACCATGGGCCTCCTCCTTTTTTCTCCTCTGACTCCATCTTCTCGTCACCGCCTTCTTTGCCTTCTCCAGGGCCTTATCAATTCCGGTTGGGTCTTCGAAGGACTCCACCTTTCTTTTCGCACCAGGCGCTCCTGCCGGTTCAGGCACACGGGGTGACCAGGCATCAATAAAGCTCATGATGCCCTCCAATGCACGCTTTTTGGAGTACTCCATATCGCGCATCATCAACGGATTGACCAATCTCCAACGGCTGATGTGTACCAACTCTCTTCCATCTCCTCGTGGCAACTTCGCCTTACACTTTGTTCTGTCTCCACTACACAAATGGTACAGCCCCTTTCTATCCATCAGGTAATGTTGGCCGTACCACTCATAGTAACCGTCACTTGCAACCAAACGATCTCCAACCAAAAAATCCTCTACCAACCTCACTCCAATCTTCGAATCGGAGGCATGCTTTCCCCTGAGCTCGGCCATCCCAATCATGGCACTCATACTCCATCACAAATCCTTTTCCCAACACTGACTCCGCATAGCTCAGAATGTCATCATGCCCTTTGGCATCAACCCAACTCATCTGGTGGGGCAGAAGGCCACTTTGCAACAACTCATTCCAATCCTCAAGGGTTCCGCCCTTTTTTGAAAAACCGCAACTTCTGATTCTCCATCTTTACTTTCTCACTTGTCTTCACTCTCCCTTTCCCTCCTTCTCAGGTCCTCTGGGCTCCTGCCCGAGAGGGATAGGACCCTCAAGGTCCCCTCCCAAGCAAAGGGGGGCGGAGAGAAGCGGAACCTTGGGAAGTGGCCTTCTCACACCCCTCAACCCTCAGTGGCCTCTGGGTCCCCCCCACTCCCACAAAAAAGCCTGGGGTCCCCAGAGGCCCAAACTTGGCCACTCCTCAGCCTCTCACTCCACGAGGAGTGCTGAGGCCGAGAAGTGGTCCACCCAAGTTGCTCTTAGACCACCTGACCTCTCACCACCTACCTCACAAGGAGGTCGGGTGGGAGAGGTCAGGCAGCCCTGACTTCAAAAGCTCCGGTGGAACCGCCATTCAGGCATGCTATCCCCTTGGGAGAACACATACTGGAAAGTCTATTGAACATTTGACTGTTCTAGGTCTGAAGAAAACCAAGAGACTTTTAATAGCTTTATGTAATGAGACAGTACTCGATAGCTATATAAGGCAAACCAATCCTGTTGTTCTTCCTGCTGGGATTTTGCCACCCTGGATAGATAGACCCCATTGTAAACCATGGCCTTCGACGGAGCAGCTCTTGATAGCCGCATTGAAGCTGATCACATTGGGCTGGACCTGCAAGCTAGACATCCGTCAACCACCTATCTCCAAGCTCAACACTCATGACTTCAAGCTAACAGCAGTGTCTGTGCTGCAAGAGTGGCTGTTCTATCTCGCATGCGTATAGTTACACAAATTAATGACTTGATAGTGTCATGAACCACCACTACCTCTGCGCCTGCTCGTCCAGCATTACGGAGAGTAGCCAAAGTGCACTTGGCCATTCCTCCACTTGGCTTGTGCCCCATGTCGGTCAAGAAAACCGAATCCACAAAAACTAGATACCCTTTACCCTTTCATCCTCTGTGCTTCAGAAGGCAACATCTTATTATGGTTTGTGGCGCTGCATCAAACATTTCCACCAATCGCATGACCACAGGTCGTCCTTGAAGACATGGACACAAATAATTTGCTTTAACATGCAACAGTCGGCCTTCAAAAAATGGTCCTGACTTACGAGGAGGTTCTGCGGTTTAGCAGCCCAATAGTTTGGGGATGTTTGGGGCAAACCCACGAATCGTGGTCCTCTTGGGCACTGAGCAATGTGCCATAGGTAAAGACATCTGGCTGCAAACCGTGAGCTTGCCTGGTCGTGTGAGGATGAAATTCAACTCTATCTGAGGCGAAATTTCGAGCGCAAGCTCAATAAGAACACGGGCGCTTGGCAGTTGCTTTGCATGACGGTGAGTTGTGCTGTGCCTTCACTCACAACTGAGTCATCACATGCGTCGGATTGCCCTGGTCGAAAAGTCGAACAGCTCTCTGTACCAGCAAATGAGATCAGCAAGTCACAGTAGCTAACCCTAAACACAAAATTCCTAGCATCTATCGAATACCGAATGGACACCACCAGGATCCCTCAGGATACTCAACGAGATCAGCTGTTGGAACTGGACCACTGGAGGGAGCACCTCATCGAGTTTAGCAGGCTCATTGCTGCATCCCAACGGTTTGCCTTTCAAGAGAGCGAACACAACGACCTTCACCGTGCTTGTGGAACATACCAACCCAGCGGCAAATCCTAGGATATGAGAGTTTATAAGGCGTGTAAAAAAGATATGGTTGTTCTGAGCACGCCTAAACCAAGGAGTGCAAAAAAAATGTAAACGTTTAACACCACCATGATCATGTTATTTGCTTGCTGGTTGTGGCTCACCTGTTGTACACAAACAAAAACATGAGTGCCCGTTTTTGAGGTTTGAATTGCTTGAGTCCATCAAGCAGCCCCAAGGAGTACAGGCTCATTGTAACAAAGCGTGCAATAAATTCCCTCTCACTCCCTCTCTAGATATACCTATATATATATACACACATTACATGCAATGATATGTGCAGTACAATATACAGCATATGTTTCATGGACATTATTGCCACTTCCCTGTTGATGAGTGTGGTGCCTTTCCGCAGGTCGCCATTGCAGCATTGCAAAGGATGATGTCTGCCGCTCCTGGGAGAGGAAAACATCTCAGGAAGTTCCCTTTCTGCCTTTGTCTAATCTAGTTTTTTTGCTTGTGCAGGTCACTGCTCGGCATCTAGTCCCCTGTGTCAGCGAGTCTCAGTCTCCAGCTCACTTGTGCTAAGGCGATTCATGTCAGTGCTTTTGTCCTATCTATATCAGAACCCCGATAACAACTGCGGACAGTGCAAGCCCATCCTCGGTGCAACAGGCTGTCTAGTAAAGACAATGCCTGGCTGATGCCGGCATGGCAAGCATTGAAAAAACTATTGCGAGCAACACGTGCAGTTTTATTGGCCAGGTTGACACACAGCTGTTGGGATCAAGCTTCACACCAGCTGCTGGGAAGATAGAGAGAATGTCGTCGGTAATCCAAAGCTTGGAGCTGAAGTGACAAAGTACTGTCAATTTACTTAGTTACTTTATACATGTATATATATATATGCGATGTGTATATATATTATATATATATACACAGTATATATATAGACAAACACATTACAGCATACATGACATAGCTGCTTTCTCTTCCCTTGATGATCATGCCACAGTGCTCTTGAAATTCCGCATGCTGGTGCTATTCTGGTTCTTTCATGGCTTGGACAAAGGAGCCTCTTTAGGAAACCCAGGGAACCAACCCACACCAATTCACTTTGACACTTCCATCACACGACCATGACAAGTTCGGGTGAACGTTCTAAAGGCCTCTTGCCACAAACTGCTGGTGCTGAACGCTTTGAGCACCGCAGTCCCATCCTCAAACATAGTGAATATGCGCAACCCACGAAGCATGAGCCGATTAAAATGAGACAACAATGATTTCCATTCCAGAACACAGATTACATCAGAACATCGTTTCTGCGAAAGAAACGCATGAAGAGGATGTCACCATATGTCACGTTCAACCACCTGCTGTGCATTCTGGCCTTGGCGTTTGTGACCACGCCAGGCTGCAGCAAATCTTTGGCCACCTTCGGTCCCATGGAAAAGCCGATTCTGCCATGTCAGCTTCAAAAGAACACCCAAAATTTGTCGTGTTGGATGTGGCCTGCGCGGAGTAGCTGCACGGGCTCAGGTTAAAGGTATGAAAAGGTCATTGAACTCTACACACAAGAGCGATGGCCTCCAACCTAGTAGCTTCTTGCTACTAGTAGTAATGCCAGGAGCTACTAGTGGCATCCTTGCTACTAGTAGCGATGCCCTTGTTACTACTAGCGATGGCCTCCACACAAGAGCTATGAAGGAGCTATGAAAGGCCCCAAGACTCACGGTGAAAGACACTTGGACGACCGATGCAGCTCTACTCAGAGAATAGCAAAGATGGCCTCGCTGGGTGCACGCCCGCCGCCGCGCAGCTCTGCAAGGAGTTGCCGACCACCTTCACCGCAAGTGTAGCACTAGCGATTGTAGGGAGTCTTTCTAATTCTGATCTCAGCCTTTAGACAAACAGACCATGAAACTTCCAAATGGGATCTGCACCACCAACAATCAAGAAACCCAAAGCTTTCTGGCGGTTTACCAGTAGAATGTGAGGCTACTGTGGCAACTCGCACATGGCCACTATGGCAGTCCACCGAGGCCTGTCAACGGGATCATCTCTCCCGCACATTGCACAGAGGAGCTTTGCCAGCAAGCTGGCTGGGTAGAAGCTCAAGACATATGAGAAAGGCCGAAAAAGCATGCCTTGAGTCCACTTCAGGAACAACGTACTTCTTGATTCTTAGAATCCAGAGCACTGAATTAAAACCATCACAACATAATTTAGCTAATGTGGCAGCCGCAACGAGTATAATACAACTCGGCTATGGTGATTTAAAGACATATCATGTGCCGGTGTTGGCAATGGCTGTTTGATGGTTGAAGTTTGAGTTGTTGGGCTTAAATCTGTGCTGCATTTCAGGACAGAAGATACGGTCTCGACGTTTGAAGACAACAGATTGGCTAGACTACAGCTCCACCCAGGGCATTGCAGTACTGGCGTTCCAACAAGACCTTGAGCCCCAGAAGTGTGTCATCACTTTAACATGGGTCGCAAATCTCCAATTTTACTTACTCCTTAAATCATTGGAGCTACAAAAGTCCTTTGGTCAAAGGAGCCACAGAAGAGGTTGCTCAAGCGAATTGTAGATTTGCCTGTCCAACTACCCATGCTCTGTACTGCCGCATGGCAAGTGAGGATACACGTATTCCTTCAACGAAGCAAGGGGCTCTTTCTCAAACAAAGGGCCAGTTGATGATGGCTGCACTTCTCACCATGAAGCCACCCCACGACCTGAGGCAAAAATGCTTGAAATGCTCTGGCCAGGCGGGAAAGTTCTGATGTCACATCGCAACATTCTAGCTGCTAGCAACAGCAATGTCGATCTTTTTTGCTCCAAAATGACCCAATCAACTTGGATGAACATGTCTTTTGTGCATCTGTAAACTGTCTGCCTCTGGCTCCAATCTTATCAAACCTTGTCTTTTCCTCTTGAATACCCTGAGTGCTTTACCCTGCATCTCCACCAGTCCATGTCACTTGCAGCCGGTCTCCTAGGATCCCTTGCCAAACATAGCGTGGTCCCCAAAGATAGGCCACCAAAGCGCCACTCAAGGCACCACCCACGTGAGAGGCCATGTCGATCTGTGAAGCGGTTGAGTCTACACACAGCCATATGTACTGTACAGCATATTGCATGCAGCATAGGTGTCTTGTCTAGGCCTTCCATTCGGATCGCATGCACACAATAAAATAAGCCGTTCGCGACGAAATCAAAAGAACGTGCCTCTTTGGAGAGAAGACCTTGGCCCAATGTCAGAAGAACGCTGAGCCTGGGCTGAACGCTCATCCCAGCATTTGGGTTCTGGACAAGAGCATCGTACATCGTTCAAACAAAAAAACAACCAGTGTTGGAGTCCCATGCTACCTATGGCCTATGGTGCTATAAACCAAATCTTCCTTTCTTTGGCAAAATCACTGAGCCGGTATATGGGTACTTTTGGTAAATGTTCAAAAGCAGTGCTTCAAGCGCGTTTAACCGTTTTTATGAGTGTTCGCATGAATTGGTGGGCTCCAGTAGGTAGAAGACTGACCCTGAACGCAAAAACAAGCATAGCTCGCACTGCTATAAAAGTACAACACAAACCCTTTTTTGCGAATCGAGTTCCAGCTTCGGGATTGGGCCGCTTTCGAGTCCGGATTTGAATCGACCCAACTGGCCCGTGATGGATTGTCTTCAAAGGTAGCTGAGCGGCACAAAATCCAACGTTCAAATAGATGAGGGATCTGGATCTCTTCATGTGCAAGGCTCACACATTGTAATTATATGTAGTTATATTTTTTAATGCTTCTCCTGGGTAGGTCAGGTTCAGAAGCGACCAACTAAATGATGACAGACCCTTAGCCGCCTGCCCGTGTTAGTTGCGGGGGTCTCTCCTCGGTTTTTAGCGTTTGGCCCTTTTCCGGCGCCTTTGCAGTAACTCCTTCGCCCGAACTGATACGGCAATCCAGCACGGTCAGTTCGCCCTCTCAGCCCTGTGCCAAAGCTCATCGCAGGGTAAATGCTGCCTGCATCTCAAACAGAAGTCAGTACTAGACGTGGAATGTTCAAGAATATCTCAAACCACAGATCTATAAGTAACAAGCCACAGTAGAGTTAGTGGGGCAAGGGCGGCAAGCACTTGGGGCTGGGATGTGGGGATACGTGGGGTGGTTTTCATCTGTGCCGGTCATACTATGAATATATCCAAGCGCATGATCTCTATTTTGCCCTGATTCCTCACCTGCAATGCAATGCAGCACATGCATCTTCTTGAATATACATTAATATTCTGTATAACATGCATCCCTTTGCACACAGGCACACCCTCTGTTTGGACATCTTTGGATACTTGCGGATTCATCTGATTTGCTCACAAACCTATATGATGTAAACATAAACGTATTTGCCCATCCCCAAGGTGCGAATGTTCTCCGTTCTCTTTTTGCCCCTTTACGGTATAGCGTTATCATCGTTGGTGCTTGGCTCCAAGATTCTGGAAAAAAATGGGCTCTCCGGGCCGGGTGTTAGGATGAGCCCTCCGGTTCGGCTTTAGGTGTCCTGTCCAACATCATAGTCCAAGTTGGGAAAGCGGCTTTTCACGCCTGGTCCGCAGCACAAGCACAGCCTTGGACAGGTTGAGAAAGCTCTTGAGATTGTTTGGGCTGGACAAAAGACACACAGCAGCAGAGCTGATCGCTGATCACTCTGTCAAGTCATTCCTACCGGGTAAGCCCAAGCTCTCATATATACCAACATTGGGTCATTGATGGTCATTGGGTTACACATGGTGACTTCCGACACTGATTCATTGTTGTGGTAAAACCACTTGCCATCTCGCAAGAAACACAGGTGCAATAGCAAGCTACCACATACTCATATTCTTGAAAAGTAAGCACAACTTCTCCAACAACAAAACAAACAGCTTTTTGTGCACTGTGTCACCTGCAAACTACCTGCAAATTCCAATCATCTGCTAGCAAATTGCGGACCTAATGTAACTCTGCTTTTCCAAAGCAAAGAGAACTACAAGTATGTCAATGTCAAAAGTTGCGCTCAAACGTAAACCTTTGACAGCTATTCAATGACGAGGTGAATGGGGGATTGGGTGGCTTGCGAAGATCCGATACACAGAAAATGTTGTCCATCTGTGTTCATCTCCCTTTCAACAAGTCACCCATCTTTGTCCCCCGGGGGTCTACAGTCACCTGCTCAAAGATTTAAAAGCTGGCGGAAGAGCTGCAATGACGTGCACTTCAGAGTCGCCTGAATCAAGCTCAGCAGATGAGGTTCAATCGAAAGCTCGACAGCTCAACGTGTCGGTGGACATTGATGACCAAACAGCTGTTACTGTAACAGTTGTCAATCAATCGCTTCGGCTGGTTCCCTCTGCGGAGCTTCCCTCTGAACAGCTTCATGTCATATGTTAGACTCCAACACTGCTGGAAGGGACCTTGAGGAATCTTAGACCATGATTGATACAAGAACAATGACAATAACAAGAAGACAAAAACAAGAACAATAACAACAGCAACAAGCAACAAGCAACAAGCAACAAGCAACAAGCAACAACATCAACAACAACAACAACAACAACACAGACATAGACATAGACATAAAATAGACATGAACCTACAACTCTGATGTGTTTTGCTTATTGATTCCTTTTGCACTCCGCCAGTGGCTTGACTCAATAATGGAAGCCAGGGGACGAAAAGTGCCCGGAAACCTCTCTTGCTGCGCGTTGGGCAGCTTGAATAGCGCCCTCCATGAAACCTTGACACCTAGGAGGGCGGTGCACTGACAAAAACCATGCAAATTCTCCAATGGTGGTCAATCCAGCACTTTGGTAAGCCCTTCTTTTGAAAACCCCCCTCCTGGCCGCTCTCACATGCAACTGGACGTATCAATGTCAAGTCACGCTTCAGCTGCTTCAGTGCCAGCCCAGTGCAGCCTACCACAAGGCTTCCGCAACGCCTCGCATTTGCAAGGGTCACGAAAGCCAAGACAGAATCACTTTGTACGGAGGCAACCTACAGAATCGGAATTGCTATTGCAGGTACACAACAAATTAAACATCTTGAGTTATATAGTGTTCTATATACAGATATATACCAAAATATACCACACAATTTACTCTATTGCAAAGAGAGAGAGAGAGCGGGAGAGAGAGAGAGAGAGGGAGAGAGTCATTTCTCGCAGCCAGCACCAAAGCCATTCTGGCTAGGCAGGCCAATTGGACCGAAAGAGATCCGGTATGCGGAGTGGTGCCACCAAGCTGAACAGTTTGTGCTGCAACGCCTCCATGATCCCAACCTTGGTGGTACTTGGCTTTCGAAAATAAGCCACATCCTATGTCCAAGCCGATGACACCGTGGAAGAAAGGGGATTTGGCATATTGGGGACAGTTCAGCTCACTGCTGCATTACATAGCAAGCAAGCCGGGTATGTCAGCTGGTACATGGATCACCTCCGGGCCAAAACTGCTGATTTGCATGTGAGATGGCAGGCTGTACATGGCTTGGAAGATTTTCAAGCAGGCATTGAAGCGCTGATTGCTGGAGAGTCGACGCCTATCACCCTCCTCATCAAGGGTGCTGAGTGCAACAAGGAGTTTGCCAAGAAGCTGGCGCTTGAGCAGCAGGCTAGTGATTATCAGCAGTGGTTGTCACAAGCAAAGCTGAAAGGACATAGCGGCATCTACAAGTGTCTCAAGGCACCTGACAGTGCTCATGTGCGGCCTTTCAGAGATGTTCCCATCCAGCAGAGACAGGCAATGCGGGAGCAACAATGGTACAGCAAGTTGCATGTCATTGATAGCCCCAAGCAAAGTGGAGAGAGGGAGAGGCTCCGCTATGAAGGCATTGTTCAAGCTAGAAGCTGGCAGGATATGGACATATATGGACCCTCATGTGGTCATGAAGAAGCTTCAGAAGCTACCGCAGAAGGCCTGTGGACCGGACGGAATCAGCTACGCCATGCTCAAGAACATGCCCATTGAAGGGGTCATCGAAATGTGCCACATGATGAGGAAGTGGGAACTAGCTGGACGTTTGCCTGACCAGGTTTGTACAACGTTGGTGCTGCTGCTCCCCAAGAAAGCTGAAATTGAGAGGCCAATCTCCTTGACCAGCGTGATGTACCGCACCTGGTGTCGCCTTCGTTGGGACAAGCTCAGATCTTGGCAGACGAGCATTGGCCAGAGACTGCCCTGGGAACGAAGTTTACCTGGTACTCAAGTTCTTCAAGTGGCACTTATGAGATTGTTGAAGTGTGAGGTTGGTCGAGCAACTGGTCGACAGGTGGTGTCGCTTTTGATCGACCTGCAGTGCTTCTACGATTCGGTCCAGCTTGAACAACTGCTGCACCTATGGGAACCGTTGGACTTCCCGCCTGCAAGGATGAACATGATCTACGAAGTGTACAGTGGGCCTCGTCTGTTACAAGCTGAAGGGGTCACGTCCACGGCAGTACACTGTGAGCGGGGGATGTTGGCAGGCTGCCCGGCAGCCCCATTGGTTGCCAAACTTGTGTTGGCCCCGGTCCTACAGAGCTTCCAGGACAAGCATCCCAGAGCCTCCGTGGATGTTTGGGTGGATGACATATCAATGGATTTCGCTGGAGAGGATGCTCATGTTGTTTGCAAAGAAGCTTTGGCTGGCTTTGATGAGATCAAACAGGGCCTGGAGAAGGTGGGGCTTCAACTGTCAGCCAGCAAGACTGGGTTCCTCACGTCCACTGCAGAGGCCAAGAGGTCCATCAACCTGCATCGAACTGAACAGCAGCCAAGGGCCCACGACCTCTTGAAGGACTTAGGACTGGATTCAAGTGGTGGCAGCGCCGCCGCATTGGCAATCAACAAAAGAGAATGTTGAAGGGCAGTGGAAGACAGTCCAAGTTGGTGCACTTGAAGCTTCGTTCGAGGCCCGTGCGCATTCCAGTCTGGAAAACCTCCATACACTCAGCTGTGGGCTTTGGTGTGGAAGCTCAGGGGGGTGGCGCCGCAAAGAATGAGGACTTTGAGGCAGCAGCTAGCCAGACATGGAGGCCTGCAAAAGAAGGGGAGTGCAGACATTGTCTTTGACCAACACAGTCACCTGCAAGATCCCCAGGATACAGCAGTGGAACGTCAGCTTAAAGCCATGCACCAGATGATCAGAGCATGGCCAGCCAGTCAGAGAGGTGAGCTCATGTCGGCTTGGAGGGTGTCATGGAGACGTTTGCAGGCAGCTGCACACCCGTGGATGGTTGTGGCGGGACCCATGGCAGCCCAGGTATACCTCATGGAGGTGGGCTGGGATGCTTCTGTTTTGGACGACTGGATCAGGCCGGCGAGAGGGTTGATGCCTGCAAATCAGATGAGCCTGGATTTTCCTTGGTTGTACCTGCAAAGGAAGTTGCAGCATGAGCAGAAGCATCAGAGGGCTAGAAGGATCCAAGAGCTTGAGCACTGCTTCCGCTCATGCGGCAGCCGGATTGGACTGTGTACCACAAAGTCATCAAGAAACTCAAAGGTCCAGCTCGTGCAGCACTTGATGCCTGGACGCAGGGTTCTTTGCGCACCCATGACTCTGGAGTCCGTGTGATGTGTCCTCTATGTGCGGTTCCTGTCACGATGAAGCATCTGGTGTGGCAATGCAAGTATCATGAGCAAGACCTCCCACCTGAGTGGCAAGCCAGCATACAAGCCAACGAGGATGCAATGCTTTGGGCAAGGGGTCTCATTGAGCAGCCACACTTCATGCCGGTTGAAGGTGTTGATTCGTGTGAGGTTACTGGACTGCTGGCCAAAGGATGGCCCATCCGCTTGAGTCCCTCCCATCGTTTGGCCATTGGAGTTCAAGCCACTTGCAATGACAGCCGTCTCAAGCAGTGTGCCGTGGCCCTGACCGTTGGCAAGAGGGATCCTGGCAAATCGCAGGCACTTGTACAGCGATTGCCCCAGGGCAGGCATCAGAGCCCAGAGGATGGATCTTTGGTTGCTGGCTCCTCCTACAGGCAGTACTTGGCAGGCATCAGCTGAACATTCCCAACCGAGCAGGGTGGACAGCTCTGCAGAAAGGAGGGGAGAGCAAGGCAGCACCTGACCTTTGGTACAACCTGCCTGCAAATGAGTGGAAGAGATTGCAAGTGTTGCATGTGCCGCTGAAGCTCTTGAAGGAGGAAGGAAAAGAGTCAAAAGGATGGCTTCAGTATGTTGAGGCTAAGCTGGCGGCCAAAAGCCGTGCGGCTAAGGAGGCTCCTCTGGCGCTTGAAGCTGAATTGAGGGCGGCTGACCTGAAGCACCAGGAGATTTATGAAGTTGCTGCGAGCCGCATTAGTGCCATCATTGCTGACCGTGAGCACTTTATGCATGGGCAGCTTGAGAAGGTCGAGAATGAATTCAAAGTGAACGTGCCCAAACCCAAGAAGGGGCGTGTGGACCTGTTGAACCAGCTGGTGCAACAAACTCCGGTTGAAGGGCAGCACAAGTGGCAGCACCATCGTCAAGGTGCAGTGTGTGAGAACTGTGGCAAGAGGATCAAGGCCTGCAGCACACACGAAGAAATCAGCACCAAACAGGCCACTGTGTGTCCTGGAGCAGTCACCAAGACCTTGAAGCAGGTCATGGCCGACCTTGTGAGCGACACTGAGGGCTTGCTGGATGAACAAATTGGCCACAAATGGGAGATGAGGGCATCCAATTTTGGGTGTGTCCGCTGTTGGAGCAAGATTCCACTTCGAAGCAGCAAGGCAGTTCTTGAGCAGTTGACGACCTCAGCCTGTCGATATGGAAAATTGGATGAGTTTGGCATGCAGCTGCGGACACGGGTGCATACCTCCCGATGTTTGGAGGCGTGGCAGTTGGCTTGAGTGTCGACGTTGCAAGCGCACTTCGAAGGAACAAGATGGCAGAGTTCAACAATGGATGTCTAGAGAGTGCGCAGCCAAGTGTGGCCAACAGACTTTGCCTTTCGGCCCGAGGAGTTCGAGCAGCTGATTGTGGTTGTGGCCGGTAGCATCCTGCTGATCCAAGGCGAAGAGAGCCTTGTCAGCTGCCACTTTTGGCCATTGGCCGTGGCTCGTCTTGCAGACGGAAAAGAAGCGAGAAAAAATAAAGAGTCATTTCTCGTTGCCTGTTAACACCAGTCGCTTCATGAAAAACCAGGCCTGCATATGGGGTGCAAGAGTCTTCGGTGGGTAGCAGCCTGCACGACCAAAATGACGGTCAAATGTGCCGGCCTAAACGTCGGAGAAAGGGACTCGGAGTGCCATGCCGCAACTCTGTGCAACACGATGTCCAGTACAGGACATATATACTGCGTATGTATATGTATGTACTAATATGATCCAATAATATACAGGAATCTGACAAAGTAGTCCCTTAGTCACCCCTTGCCACAACCAACAGAGTTAGCTTGTGTTTGGGAAAAAAACATGACTGTCCGCAGAGTATTCCCACCAAGGCAGGGTAGCAGTACCTCAAAAAAAGTGACGACGTTGTCTTTTGCCTGTACTGCTCAGGACGCGATAGAAGTGCAATTGCTGCGCAACAAGTCTTTACAGAAGTCTTGTTTCCAAGCATAATCGCATCAGCTTTTCTAAATGTGATGTTTCAATGATGAGTTTCTGAAACGGGCGTCTGTGGCCATCCACCTAGCTAGCGCATACAGTAGCGGCCGAATGTTGTCAAAGGCTTTTCAACACCTGAAAAACCAACAGCATCCCTGCGTCCCGCCAACAGGGCAGCCGCCAGTAAACTCATCAGCGGCCTGAGATGAGTAGAAGGCTCTTTGCAGGTCTTTGACACAAATATATTCTTGTCCAAGTATGCCAACTTGTGGCCCAGAGGGGGGGTGGCGAAAGCTAGGCAAATAAACAACGCTGGGGCTCTTTAGGCAGCAAAAGCCAGGCCGGGAATCGCAACATGCCATGGCCAAGGGAAAAGGAGAGTGCCAACAGCACCCCCCAATACGACCCCAACACAGCCAACACATGGCAACACACAACCACCTCAGAACCGCCGCAGCAGCAGCAGCAGCTACCAAGCAACAGCTACAAAGCAACAGCAGCACAAGTAACAGCAGCAGCAGCAGCAGCAGCTACCAAGCAGCAGCAGCAGCAGCAGCAGCTACCAAGCAGCAGCAGCAGCAGCAGCCAAGCAGCAGCAGCAGCAGCAGCTACCAAGCAGCAGCAGCAGCAGCAGCCAAGCAGCAGCAGCAGCAGCAGCAGCCAAGCAGCAGCAGCCGCAGCAGCCAAGCAGCAGCAGCAGCAGCTACCAAGCAGCAGCAGCAGCAGCAGCAGCAGCAGCCAAGCAGCAGCAGCCGCAGCAGCCAAGCAGCAGCAGCCAAGCAGCAGCAGCCAAGCAGCAGCCAAGCAGCAGCCGCAGCAGCAGCAGCTACCAAGCAGCAGCAGCTACCAAGCAGCAGCAGCAGCAGCAGCAGCAGCTACCAAGCAGCAGCAGCAGCAGCAGCAGCAGCTACCAAGCAGCAGCAGCAGCAGCACCAGCAGCAGCTACCAAGCAGCAGCTGCAGCAGCAGCTGCAGCAGCAGCAGATACCAAGCAGCAGCTACCAAGCAGCGGCAGCAGCAGCAGCTACCAAGCAGCAGCAGCAGCAGCTACCAAGCAGCAGCAGCAGCTACCAAGCAGCAGCAGCAGCTACCAAGCAGCAGCAGCTACCAAGCAGCAGAAGCAGCAGCAGCAAAGCAGCAGCAAAGCAGCAGCAAAGCAGCAGCAGCAAAGCAGCAAAGGCAGCAGCAAAGCAGCAAAGGCAGCAGCAAAGCAGCAGCAGCAAAGCAGCAGCAGCAGCAAAGCAGCAAAGGCAGCAGCAAAGCAGCAAAGGCAGCAGCAGCAGCAGCTACCAAGCAGCTACCAAGCAGCTACCAAGCAGCTACCAAGCAGCAGCAGCAGCAGCAGCAGCTACCAAGCAGCAGCTACCAAGCAGCAGCAGCAGCTGCTGCAGCAGCAGCTACCAAGCAGCAGCAGCAGCAGAAGAAGCAGCAGCAAAGCAGCAGCAGCAAAGCAGCAGCAGCAAAGCAGCA